GCAGCAGCAGCAGCAGCAGCAGCAGCAGCAGCAGCAGCAGCAGCAGCAGCAGCAGCAGCGGTGCAAGATGCCCCCTCCAGAGATGCTGGGCGTCAAAATCCACCCTGCCCTCTGCCTTCTCCAGACTCGATCCCTAGGAAGATCGTGGATTCCAGCCGCTCGCAGCCTCCAGCCAAGGGAGGTGCCCTCTGAGCTAGCTACGGAAGGAGGCGGGGATTGGATCATCTGAGGAGGAGAGGGAGGGACCGACGCTCCTGGAGCTGGTGGCTGCAGGCACCCTGGGCTGCCGCCGTCTCTGGGCGGAGCTGCACCCAGAGCCTGGACTGTATTGAGACCGTGTGAATGTTCGCGTGGACTAGGGCCGCGCGGGCCCCGCGCCTCCTACGGCTTGCTCCCGCGTGCTGCTGTGTATGTTCGCTTCTTGTCACTGTGCGCCGAGAGACAGAGGGACTATGAAAATGATTCATTTTCGGAGCTCCAGCATCAAATCACTCAACCAAGAGATGAAATGCACCATTCGGTTGCTGGACGACTCGGAGGTCTCCTGCCATATCCAGGTGCGGTGGCACCGGGGGAGGATTCAGGGCGAACGGTATTCTTAGGGTACAGGAGTAAGGGGTCTCTGAGGGTAGACATGTGCTGGTAGGAAAACCACCTCCGCAGAAAAGCCCAGCTAGAATGCGGGATTTGCTTCAGTCCTCAAGATAGGGGCTTTGGCCCTCTATAAACGTCTGCCTTGCGTTTTTCTTTCCTCAGCCCCCTACCCTGACATGTACATTGTGCTTACTTCGCGTTGCTCCTAGGCTGAGTCGGTAGCCAGATGTCTCTTGTCTAACACTGTGTTGGTTCCTTTGGAGCCTATCCCACTAGGACATAGAAGCCATAAGAGCCAAGGGGGACACTTGTGCGCTACCCCACGACCACCACCACTTTTTCTTTCTCACCCACCACGTGGAAAAGGACTCCACTGGCCAGGGTTCCCCTTTTTGTTTCCCGCGCCCAGGCTGTTTGGGAACCTGCTTCTTGTACCGTCCTTTCTGCCAGTAGTCTCTACTTCTCTAGTGGGGCAATGGACTTCCCAAGTTTCCTCGAAACCTTGGGCTCCAGATTTGAGAGATGGAATGCACGTTATAATTCATTTGGAGCTATCTCCAAAGAAGGTGAAGTCTGTGCTTCAAAGAAAGAAAAAGATTCATGAGGTCCTGCAGGAAGCTGGATCTTGGGTAAAAGAGCTTGGAATCTGGTGACTATTTCCTGTGGTCAAGTTGGAGGAGAAGGCGCGTTGCTTAATTGTTTTTGTTGGCTACTCTCTTTCTTGGGAGATAAGTGTCTTTGGCCTTGCAAATATTTTGTAAGCTGCTACTGCTGCAGCTGCTGCTGTTGGTGTTGGTGGTGGTGGTGGTGGTGATGTGTGTGTGTGTGCGCGTGTGTGTGTGTGTGTGTGTGTGTGTGTTTCGGTGCACTCTCACACACTTGTGCTTCCTTTAGCTGATGTGCCAGTAGGTAGGTGTGCACTTCTCCATGACCTCATGTGGCATGCACATTCTGCAAAGCTTGCATCTGCAAAGCACTGCTGGCATCATGGTTTAAAATCAAATTCATTATTTCTAGGATCCCCTCTTCTAGTCTAATACATCGTAAGTTTCTAAGATCTACGCCTGAGAAGTGAATGTATTAGCACCTCCTAGAGGCAGAAGTTCGCCCCTAGATTGTACCTGAATTTTCTAAAAAGACACTTAAATTAAAATAGAATTACATCACTTTCCCCTTTCTCTCTCCTTCCCTCAGCTCCTTCCACGACTCCACTCTCCAACTTTTCCCATGCACCCCCAATCACACTCTCAAATCGATAGCCTCTTTCACTATTGTTGTTATATATACACAATTATATAGATACAACCCACTGAGTGTGCTTTTATTGTTTGTCTGTATATGGTTTCGGGGCTGCCCATTTTGTATTGGATAACCAATAAGGGGACTTACCCCTGGGAAAGGGTAATTCTCCCACTCCTCAGCATTCATTAATTGCCTGAAGTTCTTTGCATAGGGGTGGGACTTTGTGAAAATTCATTACTTCTCAGTTAGTATGCTTATTGATGTTACTATTGTTCGGGTCTTGTTTGTGCCATTTCTATGAGAAACTGTTTCACAGGAGACATCCTGGTATTCAGCATCTTACAATCTTTCTGCCACCCTCACACGGTGTCCTATGAGCCACAGATGCTGGAACCCTTGAGATAGATGTATCCTCCGATGATGGACTGCCCAAGATCCTTGATCTTTGGGTCGAGTCCAATCGTAACTTTATGTGATGGTCTCCATTTGCTGTAAAGGGAAGCCTCTTTAATGAAGGTTGGTCAACATATTCGTCTGTGCGTAGAAGGATAAGTTTTGAATGTAGTTGGGAGTTACATTGATCTATTAAAAATGGGAGTAGCAAGTTCTCTCCTAAGATTCAGAACCTCACCAGATCTGGGAAGTTAGTTAGGTTCCTAGTACCATGCGTGATTTCTCTCCTGTCGAGTGAAATTTACATCCGCCAAACAGCTGTTGTTGCACTTTTATAGATATCCACTCCTGCTCGTCACTGTTGTGGCTCCTGAGAGTCACAACTCAAGAGGACACCACTAATGGTTTTCCTTCTATGCTGGTTGGCTGTGTCAAACTTGAAACAGGCTTGAGTCTTTTAGGAAGAGGGAACCTCAGCTGAGAAAATGCCCATCTGATTGGATTGTGGAAAAGCATATTGAGCATTTTGATTGACGATTAAAGTCAGAGCAGCGGTGCCACCCATGGACTGGTCGTCTCCTAGGTTCTGTAACACAGCAAGCTCAGCAAGCTCTGAGGAGCAAGGCAGTAAGAACTGCTGTTCCTGGCCTTTGCTTCAGTTTCTGCCCCTAGCTTTTGGGCCTGCTTGAGTTCCTGCCATATTTTCCTAAGTGATGGACCCTTACCTGGGAGTGGAAGCCAATTAAACCCTTTTGTCTCCAAGTTGGAGGTTTCACTACAGCTTTAAAAGCCTTATTAAAACACTTTTCTTGGAAGTTTCCATAGTATTTCCTGGAATGAAGGAAACTAAAGCACAGCAAGGATTTTAGATCAGATTCAGCTTGAATAAAAATAATCTGAGTCCTGCGTCCTAAGTGTGCAATAGGGACTTACCTTCCACTTCTGAAAAACAACAATGGTAACAGCAGTATTGTATTCTGTTTTGGAAATCACTTGACCTGACCTAACCAATCATTCAAAGGAAGGTTTCTCATACCTACCTAAATCATGAGGGTTCTGTTAGTCTGTAGTTCTTGTGGAGACATTGTGAAACAGTATGTGTATGTTATGGATAATTTTAGGTAACTATAAAATAATAAAACTTTATCAAATAACCTTGGTGGCTTTTGTCACCTCTCATTTCTTCTGCTTTTGTAATGACCTCCCTCTCCCCTTCCCAGTTGGAGCCTCTTCCCTATTTTTCTTATTTGACCTTCATTTTATTGTTATTCCTCTCTCAACCCCTTCTGCTCTGTGATGCCATTATGCTTTCCCGGTTTCTGTAATACTCCATGTTGCATACTTACTTCTGAAGATTTGGAGCTGGGAACGTCAAATGAGAGATAAATAGTGATAGCTTTCTTTCTGGGTCTGGGTTACTTCATTAATATAATCCTTTCTAGGTCCATCCATTTATCTTCAAATTTCATGACTTCATTTTTTCTTTACAGATGAATAATATTCCATTGTGTGGGTGTGCATGTGTGTGTGTATGTGTGTATTACCTTATTTTCATTATTCATTGAAGGACAACGAGATTGTTTTCATTTCCTAGTTTTCTTGAATAGGGCATCAGTGATCATGACTGAATAAGTATCTATGGAGTAGGATATCAAGTCCTTTGGACATATGCCAAGGAGTGATATGACTGAATCATCTGGTAAATTTATCTTTAGTGTTTTTTGAGGATTCTCCATACTGATACTCAGAGTACCTGCACCAATTTGCATTTCCACCAATAATGAATGAATGAAGATTCCCTTTTCCTAAGTCTCACCAGACACTGTTGTCAGTTGATTGGTTGATCAGACCAAATTACACCAAATTAGCAAAAGTCCAGGTTTAATGGATACCAGCTTTCCTGTGTGGCATTCCAGCTCCCCAGTGAAGAGACAGGGAAGGAGGACTGGAAAACCACATGGTTGTTCTCTGGGTTGCTGTTTAAATACCCTGTGGGAGAGGTCTGAGCATCTCTGAGGCGGGGTCATCATTTGGTGGGCTTTCTTGAGGATGGAGTCTAGACTGAGACAACTCTCAGAGGAGGGGCTTGGGATGCAATTTCCACCCAAACATTCCAGACTCTTTGGGTATATGGATGCCAGAGCATGGGGTGAAGCCCTAACCCAAACATTCAAGACTCTTGGGGTATAGGAGTGCTAGCTCAAGTCTAGCAACTTCCTGCAGGCATGGAGCAATGTGGGAGAAGGGAGAGTTGGGAATTGGTGGGCTCACACTCAGCAGGAGGTGTGGTTGGTAAGGTATCTGGTTAACTGCCATCCTAGAAACCTCAGGCATCTGTTCCTTGAGGGAGATGAGAAGGAAGGTGGTTAGGAAAAAAAAAAACAGATTGTTATTATCAGCCCTATGAATGGAGCTAGCCATGGGAAGGGTCATTAATTGACAAAAAGAATGGGACAGAGAAGTTCCCTGCTTGCACAGGAGAGGCAAGGGTGAATGAGTGAGACACAAGAGCAGGTATGCCCATTAAAACACATTTTAGTTGCGTGGTAGGTGCCCATTTGAGCCTGGAGGGGTGGTACCAATGGCGAAGTTCCAGGAGCTTGTGTAGGAGGTAGCGTTATCTGGAAGGCCTTCTTTTTTCATTTTTTTATGGTTTATTTAATGTGCATTGGTGTGAAGGTGTCAGATCCCCTGGAACTGGATCTTCAGACAGTTGTGAGCTGCCATGTGGGTGCTGGGAATTGAACCTGGGTCCTCTGGAAGAGCAGTCAGTGCTCTTAACCACTGGGCCATCTCTCTAGCTCCCTGAAAGGCCTTCTGTGAGTTGGTCTTCATCCAGACATCAGATGTGAGCTGTAAAATAGCCTTGAAAATGGGTGGGGTCAAAATAGGCTCTGGAGACTGTTAGTTTTTACCAGACCAGACTTCTGACACAGCAGCAGAACTTTCTCCAGGAACTGTAGGTATCTCTAAGACAACTAGACCAGATTTACATCTTGGTGTCATTGCAGAAGGCTATGGCTTTAAGTTAAAAGGCATGGACATTTTAGAATAAAATTAAAGGAATCTGGAAACTCTGAACCTCTGAAGATACATCTGAAACTTGTTAATGTAGGACTATGAAGTCTGTGAAAGAGGCACACCTATTTGTATTTTTAACAGGAAACTTAACAAATGAAGTAATGAGGTACCAGTACTCTAAGTCTTCAAATGCCATTAGACAGATCTGAGAGTGATAAATAAATGAACAGAAGTGAAACAGCATTTTTATCTACACAGGCAATCCCAAATCTCTCTGTAGTTTTTGGCAAACACCAGTCTTAGAAAC